TTACCAAAGAAAAAAAATATAAGTAGTGATAGTATAAAAGTTGTATACCATCACTTTGATGGGATGTCTCAGTTTGAAAATTTTGAGTTATAAATCGTTTTCCATCTATTTTTTAAATCCAATTCTGCCTACACACGTTTTCTACTAATTATATGATTCCTTCCTCATTCTTCTTACCTTAAAATCCTTTACTCCAATTTTCCAATGACACTTGTATTCCTTTTTTTCCTATATAAAGTCTACAATCTAATTAGCAAATTCAATCACAAATTTACTATCAAACTTCTTCAAATTAAATTACATATAGTTTGTGTTTGATTAAGAGAAATATGGCACATAAGGGTACTAGCCAAGGCCAATTGCACCTAATTGATGAACATGGAAATCGAGTTCATCAAATTGATGATCCCAATGCAATTCAAGGTATATCTATGGGGTTCGCCCCTGCTGGTACAAGCTCTGATATTATGAAAAAAGATCACCATGAGGGACAACAACTTCGTCATTCTTGTAGCTCTAATTCAAGTTCCGTAAGTTTTAATCTATCTATATATAATCCAAAGGTTCTATTATATTGTATCGAAAACTATTTGATTAAGCACTAAATTTTATTTTTAAGAGAACTTTATGTATTAGACCTATAATTCAGTTGGTTAACTATCTGAATTTTTATTTTGTTGATGAAAGTTTAATTCTTTACTTTGTAAAAATTCGATCCCTTCCCCAATTTCCTTTTTCCTACCCCTAATTTTAAAGGAGAAAAAAATATATTAAACCTTAAATATTATGTGGTTATAGAAACATATTCCTCCTAATTATTTTATTGAATATGTAATGTATGGTCTTAAATTAAAGATATGTATAAATTAATATGTCATTTAAAAATTTCAACTTTTCAGCATGTCATGCAAGATATAGTAGATATAAAACATGACATCTTTTTAAAACAAAATAAAAATAGAATATGATGCATAAATTGAAATAATATGCCCAATTAAGGATGAATTGAGAAATTTAATATTGAAATGAAGTAATTGTTTCTTTTGTTCCATTTATTTATTTGACTATCTTAATTTATGGACTAATATATTGATATACACATTACGTAAAAAAAAAATCATTAGCGATAATTGATTCTTAAATATTGTTAAATATATATATTTTTAGTGATAATTAGCACTCTTTTGTCCCTAAAGCCTTTAGCGATATTGGTTCTAATGACAGTTAGTTAATATCAGTAAAGACTTTAGCACTCTTTATTAATGTAAATAGTTATTACCGCTAAAAGTTATTTTTATTATAGTGACGCAAAATTTTAATATAATGTGATATTTGTCCGATGAACATTGTAGTCTGAGGATGATGGAGAAAGAGGGAGGAGGAAGAAGAAAAAGGGCATAAAAAAGAAGATTAAAGAGACGTTGACCGGAGGCGCTGAAGAAGGTATACAAACTACTATTCCTATTTCTATTCCTACTCCGACTTCTAGTGGTGAAGTCGAAAAGAAAGGAATAATGGAGAAAATCAAGGAGAAGATCCCTGGAATGCACTGAATGAATGTTATATTTCAAGTATGTATGTGTGTCGATTTTTGACAATTGAAGCCTATACGAATATTTATAATGGTCCAAGAAAATAGAATCGTAAATAAATAAGGTAAGTTTCATCGATAAAATTCCATGTATTTTGATGAGTTGGAGTGATAAATCTCTCATGTTTTTGGATATAAATATTCTATATTTTGTATAGTTACATATATATATATATATATAATGTATTGCTAATAACTTCTATTCTAATTTAGAATATACGTTATGTTGTTACAATTTTATTTATGTTTTGTTACATTTTAATTCCTATACAAATTTTGATTTCAAAATGGTTAAGTAATTCAAATTTTAAATTTTGATATGCATGACGATTGCTCCTTATTAAACTGACTTTTAATATATGAAATAGTAAATATCATTAGTTCTAACAATAAAAATTCAAATTGACCTAAACTGGTTATCATATAATAATGAAGGGATAATTGTATATAATATCAAACTAATAACCTAAAATAAATGGAGTAGCTACTGTTTGATTTAATTGTGCTCCATAGCTAACGTTTCCTAAAGTTTATCAGTCGCCTCTCTCCCAAAACTCTCGCTCGCCACTCTCTCATTCTCGCTTGCCACTCTCCCTCTGCTTGCCTTTCTCGCTTTATACAACAGAAGTGTATAAATTGTGTTTCAGTTTTGTATAAAACATAGAAAATTGTATATACAAATGAAAACATATATCTTCGTGCTATATATTTAATTATACAATTTACAAACATTTTACTTCGATTCAATTGTACACAAATGCAAATTTTATAAAAATATTGCAGCGAAAAAGGCCAGCGAATTATACAATTATAGTGAAATACATTTTTCTCTCGCTTTATACAACAGAAGTGTATAAATTGTGTTTCTGTTTTTGTATAAAGCGAGAGAAAAACATATACCTTCTTCCTATACACTTATAATTATACAATATACAAACATTTTACTTCGATTCAATTGTATGCAAAACAAATATTTACACATATTGCAGCGGAATAGGCCAGCGAATTATACAATTGCAGTAAAACAGGCTAGCGAATTATTCAATTGCAGCGAAATATACCAGCGAATTATACAATTTAGGCCAGCTAATCATACAATTGTATATGTATAGCGAGGCCAGTGAATTATACAATTTAGGCCAGCGAATTATACAGTTGTATATGTATAGCGAATTATACAGTTATATGTTTGCTATGGAGCGTAATTATACAAACTTTGCTATAGTATACAAATATAAATTTTTTGTTTGCTATATGTGAAAGTTGTCCTATAGTAAAAGCAAAGAAGATCAATTTTTAAGGGAAAATTAATTATGCTAAATATCGATAGAGTCTCCTTTTAAGTTTATGATGGTCCTTAAGGAAAAATTTTATGCTATCAATGAAGCGAACAAATTAAATTGAAAAGTCAAATTAATTCGACAAAAAGATGACGAGTACTTAGGGTCAATTGGGTCCATTCGAATATATTTCAACGAAAAATTTACATAATTTACACATGATTAAGTTTATTTCTTATTTATACATAGTAGATATAGAACCTTCTTTGACTTTTTCGCATGTTTACTTTTCATATTTTGAACTCTATCAATCAAAATATTGATTGTGTCACTGAAACATACATCAAAACTTATTTGTGATTCTCACATTGGATGTTGAATAAAACTATGGAAAAATTATATAAATACACATGTGAAGATATCATAATTTCTAAATATTTTTACCAATTTAATTTTTTTTTTACAAAAATCTCTTCTCGAATACCCTTCCATTAAGTATGTATTATTTGTAATGTATCTAACAACTAAAGAATATATTTGAGAGCAATGAAAAATCTAGAATTTTATAATTATAAAAACGAGATAAGATGTAATAGCACCCAAATATATGAAATTTCTCTACTTTATATACAAACTAATTATATCTCAATCTCATTTAAATTGAAACATAGGCCTTAGTACTACTCTACCCTTATTGAAAAGGAGGCCCAAATTGAAAAACAAAAGTAGGAAGCCCAAATGGAAAAGAAAAGAAGATGGACAGGCGCATCTCAAGCCTGTATACATATTTCACCCAAAATTGCAAAAGTAAAATAAAATAAAATAATTCGATATTTGATATTTACTTTAAAATAAAAAATTTATCATTTATATCGAGAAGTTCTATTTTATAGATAAGCGCTACCTATAAAAAGAGAATAACAATGACATAAAGCCTATCTTTCTTAATTAACATAATGAGGAGAGTAACCTCGACTTGTTGCATAAAATTAAATCCGAATATGTTACTCTTTTTGTTCACTTTAATTTGTGATTTCTTCATTATATTAAAAATAGATATTTTTTTTTTATTTGTGTATTTCAGAAAATTAAGAGATAATTTATCATTTAGTTCCTAAATTATCTTTACTATTAACCTATAGTCATTTTTAAGTAGGAAAAACTACATAATATGGCAAACATCAATAAACATTTAAATAAAATAGCTATAATTTAATTTTGAATGTTATATGGCTATAACTATACAATAAATAGTAAAATTAATTATCTATCAATAGTCAGTTTTTTTTATATATTTAATATAAATAAATAATAAATAAGAAAATTATTATTACACTCACAATTAATTATGTCCTCATCAGTATGTTATTTTTCATTAATATCCTTATATTACAATTTTTTTGTATTTTCCCCCAATTCCTTTCAATTTAATATCCTTTTAGGAACGATTTTTGTAGTTCTTCAGGGAAAAACTATAGCTAACATTGATAAGTATTTAGTGTCTATAGCTACGATTCAAACAAATATATGTATTCCATATTCAAACAATAGGTGTATTAGTGTATTCACCGCATAATTATTTAATAAATCGGGAATTATATTTATTTTATCCATTTTTATATGATATGAATGCATATTTAGTTGGTGTACCTGTTATATTCATTGTATTTATTTATACTTTATCATTATAAGTTTATTATTATTATATTGTTATGTATTTTATTATTAATTTTTGTTTATGCATATGTAGTGACATGTGTTAAATTAATTTCTAATTGAAGCTGCGTATATGTGAATCTATAAATAACAATATAATCCATTGCTTGAAGACAAATCTTAGCCCAAATCAATAAAAGATGCTCAGAAATATGTTGCATTTTTTTTTAATAAGAAATTGATAATTTTTCTAAAAATATTTTATGTGTTTACACACTAAATAATCTTAAAACATGAGATTAACTAAATATAGATGGTTTTTTAATAATGCTTAGTATGACAATGTAAATTGGTGATTTAAGATATTGCCATATTTTTTGAAAAAACTGTCATTTTTAATATCATCTAATTATGGATTATATTTTAGTATACAAAATAAATAAACTTTGAATACAAGAAATATAGCAATTTTATCATAACAATTATAGCTACATAAAGTAATAACGATAACTATAGCTAAAAAAATCTGATAAACCATAAACTATAGTCATTTATGTAAGTTTTTCTTTTAAGTATACTAAGTCCAATACTTTTGTACTTTGACATGATCGTCTGAGACATCCTAGATCTATAATGATGAGACGAATTATAGAAAAATTCAAATGAGCGTCCATTAAAAATCTGATAATTCTTTTAAATGGTGAATTTTATTGTACTACTTGTAACTAACACAGATAGTTAATTGTGTGACGATCGCCAACAAATGTTGAGATTGAGTCCCTGCATTCTTGGAATGTTTACTTAGGGACATTTATGCGTGCCTAATGTCATTTTGCAACTTGACGTTTGCAAATTCATTATAGTAGAAATAATATGATTACGAACACAATTTTTTTTTTATATCAGATCAAGTCTATTCACTTTGATAATGCTATAAAGTTTTTATTTCAAGCATTTAATTATTATTGTCTATAGATTGAGATAAACGTTGAACATCATGTAGCTCATGATAATTATACTCAAAATAATCTTGTTGAGTCATTAATTAATTGATAGCAAAATCATTAATTATGAAAATTAGGTTGCCCACTTTTGTTTAGGATCACACAATTTTGCATTTTGCAATATTAATTCGTCTTGAACTGATAAATTATTATAAATTTCTCTGTTGTAATAAATTTCGAGCTAAAATTCTAATATATACCATCTAAGAATTTTTGAATGCATTGTATATATGCATGTAGCACCAACACTAAGATGAACCTACTATAAAGAAAATTGGTTATACATATTGATTTTGAATCGCCTTCACCATTCGCTACCTTGAATCATTAAGAGGATATATGTTTATTGCTCGATTTGCATATTATCGATTTAATGAGACTTTTTTTTCAAAATTAAGGGGATAAAAATAGTAAAATCAAAAGGAAAATCTTGTGAAAAATTCATCATTGTCTCATCTTGATTCACACATTTCTATTTGTGGGCAAAAAGTACAAAATGTTATCCACTTGCTTAAAAACATGAATTTACAGATTTAAAAGGAATTAATGAAATAACTTATTACTAAACACATAAAAATTTATAAAGGTTTGACCCTATGAATCATTTTTGGTTTTGCAAAAAATTGAACCTTGTAAATCATTTCTTGATATTAAACTTATAGAAATTTAAACCATATCAATCATTTCTTGATTTTGAACTTTTAAAGTTTGAACCTTATGAATCGTTTAAAAATTTGATGAATTGTACATGAGATTTGTAACTCTAAAACTCTATGAATCATTCCTTGAATTGTTATCAATCATTCGAATTGCAACTATGCTTTCTAGAGTTGTAACGTGTTTTAGTTGAGGGTATTTTTATCAAAAACATTTCTATATTTCAAAAAAGTGGTAAAATGTTATAGTAACTTGTAAAACAATGATTATTACTTAAAAACAGATATTAAATTATGCATTCTCCTTTCCTTAGGTACTATAACAAGAGGTTTTGAACCTGGACTTGTGAGGTCAAAAATTATTTATTAGTATATATGGACCAAATTATAAAAAAGAAGGAATATAGATAGCATAATTGAACTAGAGAGGATTTATTCATATTGAGAATTATTGAACAGACTTATAATAATTAGATTACATTTATTATTGGTTTATTCATTTCCATCATCAAAATCCTTTAATTGTTTCAACTTGATGATATACAACTAAGTAGTAGCCCCCTACTGTAAATAATTTCCAGGTCTGTTTTCTTTTTGTTTCAAGTTAAAACAAAAAGGATTTAATTTCGTCCACAAAAT